GATTTGATCCAAAAATACATTCATTTCTATACTTTTGACATCAAATCAGAGATATTTCAACAAAACCTGAACTCAAGCGAAGACTCAGAGGAAGGGGTCGTCTGTGAGACCACTAGTGATGTCTTAAACCTTTGAGTCATATCCAGACTACCGGTGCTGTCCTTCACATCAACGGATCCATTGGTGACCGCATTGTCTCCACTCATGTCTTCATTGACTCCGAGATCTGAAAAGAGATAACATTTGAGACACGAATTGAATGTTCGATGAGTTGAGACCCGAAGAGTCGCTTCCAATCGCTATTGTCTCCACTCATGTCGTCATTGACTGCGATCTGAAAAGAGATATCATTTGAGACACGAATTGAATGTGAGATGAGTTGAGACCCGAAGAGTCGCTTCCAATCGCTTCCATGTCTTCAATGTCTTCAAAATGATCACAAAAAACACAAATATTTTGAAAACACTTTTCACTCAATGTTTGCAAACAATCGATACAATCGTTACGATCGATACCATCGATGTGTCGCTCATTGCATACATTACGCCAGAGATCGGCAGTAATCACGTGATCTAAATAATCAGTATTTACCACAAGTGTCCAGGTCATTGTCCAGGTCATATTACATTGATTTGTATTCAAGTCTCGGTTTATCGTAAACTTTGTTTTATTTAATAATTAATAACTGTTTTTGTTTTATAACATTCATTATACTGTATATTAATATATTATTTTACATTTATTATATTACAATAGAAAAAGTTACATGCTATGTTTAATATAGTTTTATTTTAATTAAACATTATATTGTAATGGATTCATAAAAATAATGACAATAATGAGCAATGTACTTTACAATAAAAATGTTTTTTAATAATAATTTTAAACAAATTGACTAATGTTGTATTTATTTTTGTATGACCATGTTTATAAATATCAGTGTGAATAATTAATTTTCATAAATTAATCTATTATAAAGTTTAATTAATTATTTAGACCTTGTTCGTAATATATTAGAATCTTATTGACATTGTATGAAAACTTAAACTTGGTAATTTATCAAATAATAAACTGATGAATGGTGAATATTAATAAAACTATTGATTAATAGATTAAAACTAATTAGTAATAATAAATGTTATTAGCAGCTAGCTATTTTCTGTAAATATTATTATTTTTAAATTATTCCACTGACTAGTGAGACATAAATAGAATCAATAAATGAACCTGCATAATTACAGTGAATAATTTATATGAATTTACAAGTTTTTGTTTGTGCATAAAACATAATTGCAATGTTAACTATCTCAATTTTATCAATTATGTTAATTGGTTGAACTGAATCCACATAATGAATGAACTTGTTACACTATATCTAAACTGTCCCTGAAATAAGAGTTATAATTAAATATAAACTTTTATTTTTAAATAGTTTAGATATAGTATAATATTTCAAAATTATTGAAATACTGTATATTTTATAATAAGATTTTGCTAATATCATATTAGTTTTATAAAAATTTAGGCTTATTTTATCTTGTTTATTCAGTGAAACTAAATCAGTTAACTGTTTATCAGTTGATTTATAATTACAGCTAGTTCATAATAATTAAATCAATAAATCTGTGTAACTGTATTTTTAACATTAATTATTGTAACAATTAGTGCTGAAACATTAAATTAACATTGTTGAGTTTATATTAAGTAACATGGTAGTCCAGTAAATTCAGTTTAAATTCTAATCTGTATAATAGTTTATTGTTTGACATAATTAACATGTACATTTTATTAATTTCATAACTGATACCCCATTTGTATAATATATTGCGTGTGAAAAACATCTATTCAATGGAAATACTGTACAAAAAAGTATAATATATTATGACATTTGATGCAAAATATGAAACAATGAATTGATTGTGTAATTCCTCATCAATTAATACATGTATAGTATTGACCGCAAGTATTATTGCCATTAAAAGCCTAATGATTGCCAACAAAATCAATAAATGGTAGAAAAATGTGGCCCTAATTGCGGCGGAAGACCACCCTTTTCGTGGTAGTCGTCGTACTTCTCATTGAATTTGTATTCAAGTCTCGGTTTGACGCAAGACTTGGATGAGCTCTGACAGGAAAACGCAAATTTAAGATCACTTAACATCTCCTCGCATATTGTGTCCTGAAAATTGTCAGCAAAACATAAATATTTTAATTANACAATGAATTGATTGTATAATTCCTCATCAATTAATACATGTATAGTATTGACCGCAAGTATTATTGCCATTAAAAGCCTAATGATTGCCAACAAAATCCTAACTATTCGGCTACAATTTGGTAATAAATATATTTAAATAAACCGCATGGTATTAAAATAATTTTAATTCAAAGTAGGGGAGTCATTTAATGTCATCCCTGTATAAACCAATTAACTAGTATAATTAATATGATTTATAAATTATTTTGTTCAAACTGTAACACTATAATTTATGTAAAATTAAAATTTTTAATTTATTTCAATATTTATTTTCAATTAATTTCCATTCAAACTGTAATCCCAAAATTCATGACAAATATAAGGTTTATGAGATTAAGAAATTATTCGATTAAGGGTTATGGATGTGGATCCTTTAGGATTTTTTGACACATTTTTATGAATCCATTACAATATGTTTAATTAAAATAAAAAATAATTTACAAATTATTATAATAATCTTGATAAGTTGCAATAGTGCTTTGTATACATTTGTATATTATATATCATATATAATATATGACAATTGTTTCTAAAATTATTTATTTTTAAGGTACCTAAATTGATAAATATTTTAAAATTAAGTACTTAAACAGTAATTGCAGGTCATTATAAAAAAATATTTTAAATACAAATATACACAATACAAACCTACTTGATTACTTAAATACTACATGCTTGATAATGTGCACGCTAATAAACTATTTAATGTTTACTAAATACTAATTAAAATATTTATGTTTTGCTGACAATTTTCAGGACACAATATGCGAGGAGATGTTAAGTGATCTTAAATTTGCGTTTTCCTGTCAGAGCTCATCCAAGTCTTGCGTCAAACCGAGACTTGAATACAAATTCAATGAGAAGTACGACGACTACCACGAAAAGGGTGGTCTTCCGCCGCAATTAGGGCCACATTTTTCTACCATTTATTGATTTTGTTGGCAATCATTAGGCTTTTAATGGCAATAATACTTGCGGTCAATACTATACATGTATTAATTGATGAGGAATTATACAATCAATTCATTGTTTCATATTTTGCATCAAATGTCATAATATATTATACTTTTTTGTACAGTATTTCCATTGAATAGATGTTTTTCACACGCAATATATTATACAAATGGGGTATCAGTTATGAAATTAATAAAATGTACATGTTAATTATGTCAAAAATGTCATAATATATTATACTTTTTTGTACAGTATTTCCATTGAATAGATGTTTTTCACACGCAATATATTATACAAATGGGGTATCAGTTATGAAATTAATAAAATGTACATGTTAATTATGTCACACAATAAACTATTATACAGATTAGAATTTAAACTGAATTTACTGGACTACCATGTTACTTGCCGGTAATAGTTTCAAATGTAAATTCAACAATGTTAAATTAATTTGTTGAGCACTAATTGTTACAGTGATTAATGTTAAACTACAGTTACACAGAGTTATTGATTTAATTATTATGAACTAGCTGTAATCATAAATTAACAAATTCACATGATAAACAGTTATCTGATTTAGTTTCACTGAATAAGCAAGTTAAAATAAGCCTAAACTTTATAAAACTAATATGATATTAGCAATATCTGATTATAAAATCTATTTCAATAGTTTTAAAATATTATACTATATCTAAACTATTTGAAAAATAAAAGTTTATATTTAATTATAACTTTTGTTTCAGGGACAGTTTAGATATGGTGTAACAAATTCAACCAATTAAAATAAATTATAAAATTGAGCTAGTTAACATTGCAATTATGTTTTATGCACAAACAAAAACTTGTAAATTCATATAAATTATTCACTGTAATTATGCAGGTTCATTTATTGATTCTATTTATGTCTCACTAGTCAGTGGAATAATTTAAAAATAATAATATTTACAGAAAATAGCTAGCTGCTAATAACATTTATTATTACTAATTAGTTTTAATCTATTAATCAATAGTTTTATTAATATTCACCATTCATCAGTTTATTATTTGATAAATTACCAAGT